ATTTCTGTAATGCTGCTTGGAGAAGGTTCCCATGGGGATGAAAGTGCTGAGCTGGCATTGCATGGGAAGTTCAAACAACCTAAAGAAACCCCTGCCTAGTTAAAAAATAAATCTCTTCCAGGTACCTGAGAGACAGAAACCCAGACGCTTTGTAAATACAAAGCCACGTGCGCTGTTCAGGCCGAAGCCTTGTAGCTGTGAGGGAAATGCAAGTGTTCGTTGAAGCAGTACGCTGGTTTATCGTAGCCGCTGTTATCTGCTCACAAACCTGCTCTAAACTTCGTTGGCTTTTTGGGGAGCTCACGAATGGTTAAGTTTAAACTAAATCTTGCCGTGCTAAAACGTGCTGGCTGACACTGGGCCTGGGGAACAGCCATATGCTGAAACTCTCTGCAGCAGGAACCACCATTTTTGCTGTGCTTTGTACGGCGCCTGGCTGTAGCAGACGAAGTGGTACAATAAAAAAGCATTTAAGAGCTATGGCAGGCCCATCTCGTAAATCACAGTTTTGAATATTTTCTGTGACGTTATTTCTGAAGCTTTTTCACTGTTGAGATGCCAGTAGTTGCAACAGAGCCCTTCCCAGGAGAGCGGGGCTGGAAGCCTGGCTCTCGGGATGACATTCCCGTAGCGATCTCCCAGCCTGTTCTATTCTGGGTCGAGCTGTTGGCTGAATTGCGGTTGCGCTTGCAGATTTATATTCCGTTACAAACGAGGATCCCTAATTTCTCTGCGCTGCCTCTGCTTATCTCTTCTGGCCTTAATTACGTTTAACACATGTTAAAGGCGAGCAGGGATTGATTCTGGAAAGGGCTGGGGGAGACCTGACCCCGGGATATTGCTTGTTGCAGCAGTGACTCGATGCAACCCACCCTGCCCTCTGAGAAAGATCGACTGGGGCTTTTGGCGGCACATCTGATTTCTGAAGGATCCGCTTTCAAAACGCAAGCGAACGTCTGTCCTGTTGCTCTTAACGTTGATTGTTTCAAAGGAACGTGTTCGTTGCCTCTTCTCTTATTTTGGAGTAGTTGAAAAATATTGTTCTCACCGCTTTGGATATCGGTATGTTGAGTCAGAGCTAAGCATCCCGATATCTGGGAACTGCTCGTCACTGCTTTGAGCAACTGATCAGCAGCTTCACCGGTGGCAGTCGTTTCAAGTTGTGAAAGTGGTGTTTCGTGGGTTATAACGTACCGGGCTTTCTTAGAACCGGTTGTCTCCGTTAGCTGGGTCTTTGGCTCGGGTTGCCTCTGGCTGCTCACGGCTTGCCTTTTACGCCTGGAGCCGGTGGCTTTCAAGTGCAGCTGGGGGGGATTTCTGTGAAGCGACTGCTTTTCTCACGACGGGCATCTGGGCCGGTGAATTTACCAAGTACGCGTGCGCTTGAGACGCCCTCAGCACCACCCGGCTGCCGTGGGCGAAGCCTTCGGAGCTCGCATTGATAGGTTGGGTTTCATCGGTTCCACGCTGACCTCGGTATGATAGTGCGATACAGCCTGTGTTGAGGACTGGGGGGATAACGGGGGTTTTGAAAGGATTTGTGTGAGTGCCCTAGAAATTTTGAAAGGTGGAAGAGAGACCTCTTCCCACCCCATCCGCCCGCCCCGCGCGCTCCCTGGGTTCGGGGTGAGGATGTGGTAGAGAGGCCAGTGGCTCACGTGAAAGAGTACGGAACCATTTCAATGCTCTCCCTCAGTATGCAGAACAAAGTATTACCAATTTACTGTACCAAATCTCAAGGTATTTTATTTTCTTCCACTTGTGAAAGGGCACATTGTACCACGAGAGGCAACTGTTTCCGAGTAGGAAGCTGAAGCGGGAGGTAAAGAGGTTTCACCGTGCAATGCTGCTGTGAGACGCCAGCCCACGCCGGAGGCTCCTTAGAAATAGCAAAGGCTCCGATGAGGCCTTTAAAAACAAACAAAGACGCCTTCCCTCCCCCTCAACCCTATTTAAAAGTTGATTTGCAGAGGAACAGCACAGTGTCACTTCCTTCCCCTGCCCGAAAGCGGAAATTCCTCTCTCCTTAATAAAACGATTATCTGTCACGCTCCAGAAACTTTATTTCTGTTCAGACCGTGGTGTTTAAATACGTGTGTTGAAAAGCCACAGGCTCCTTGGGAAAAGGAATGAACCTCCTGACCTGGTTTGCTTGCACTCGGAGCCATGGTCCACTGAACAAAGACCTTTGATATCAGCCCTTTCTGCACCTTGGGACGTCACCTAGAAATAAGGGGCACAGAGGTGTCCGAGCAATCTGAAATCCAGCGGAGAGGAGACGGGAAAGGCCTGCGGTCCCAGTGTGGAGGATGGAGTGTGAGGAGGGCCGGTCTCCGTTTATTTTAAGTGCATCGCATCAGCCGCCTTGACTTTATCACATAGGGACCGATTTCCCGGCAGAGACCTTATGTATTCGCATGTTGGAAACCACTAACCTCAAATAATCTTCTGTCTCTTAAAAAATCTTTGTTCTCACATCTTTTTTGAAACTTCAGAGAAGTCTTTGTGTTTTGTTGCCGTAGTTAGTGTTGAAATTGGGTGTGCTTGCTCATGCTGTTGTTTGGGATTGTTGTTGTTGGCCCCTTCCACTGCCAGGCATTGAGCTGGATGCTTGTTCCATATTTCAGGCGCCCCTGGGAAATACCATGGGCTGGCAAGGAAGAAACTTCTTCAGCAATGCCAGCGGCTCAGAGGAAAACAAATGGAGCAGTGATATTGGCTAGCCGTATTACTGTGCTAAAATACTTTTTTTTTTTTTTTTTTTTTTTGGAAGACATACCAGGAGTTCTGGAGCGTGTTTTCTGAGAGCTGGGGCTGTTGCTGCGAGCCAGCTGCTGTGGTCCAGCCGCGCCGCAGAGGTGGCTGGGCCGTCGCGCAGCTCCGCTTTAGGCTGCAAGCGATCCACCGTCCAACTCTGGAAGTACTGCTTAGGCTGAACTGCTGTTGGATTGAAACCTGACTTCAGGAACTGTAAAAGTACTTGTTAAACCCAGATGTCCCGATGATGTTGAAAATAGGGTTTTTTCCTTTCCTTTCCTGGTGTTGGGAATACAAAAGGCTGTTTTAGGTTTGATGAGGTGAGAAGTAAGACAGGCACTGTTGCACAGAAGCTTGCTATAGTATAGCTCTCCTCTACCCGTCAAGCAATATCCTCGTGGTCGTGGCTAAGCTAAGCTTTGACAGCCTCTCAGCTTAAGCCCCAACCAATTTGTTGCCGTATTTGTTAAACCAATTTGTTAATTCAAGTCTTTGCTTCGTCCCGCCAATTCTGGCAGCATGTCATGCGTAAGCAGCTCTCGGTGTCAGTGTGCCACTTTGCTGTGGTTTGGGAACCCCAGCAATAGGCTTTTTTTGTGTGCGTTGGGGTTTTTTGTCGGTCTCCTCCGCTTTGATAAAGCAGAAGCGGTTTTTCTACCTTCAAGGCACTCGGCGCAACTCAGTTTGCAAAGCCTGTGGTGGAGGTTCTCTGGCTGCAGCGACTGTTTTGGTTGCAGTCTAGCAGTTGGCTAGCAGCAAACTTAAAAAACCACAACCATTAAAATGAGTACGGAGCTGACTTATTTCAGAAACATGAAAAAAATGCCTTATAACTTGTTTAAAACCTCTGGTTCTGGTGCAGATCAGACTGTGTTAACGTAGAAGAACGTTGAACACGGCTCTCGTGGCAACGTTCCGATGTGCTTTCAGTTTAAGCCACGCTGAGCAAGCTTTGAACAACTACGGAGCCTGTTACCTGTGCTCCTGAACAACTGGGATTAGGAAAAAGCCCTGCTTGAGGATCGAAGAAGCGAGGCTCAGTGTCTGCTATCAAACACCGCTTTCAAACCCGGTCTCTCGGCTCGCAAGGAGCGAGAAATCCCTGCTCGCCTCGGCGAGAGCCGGGAGCTGCTGGCGGAGTGGGGGGAGCAGGGCACCCGCGCTGCCCGAGCGTGGGCAGGGGTTCGGAGCCCGGCCTGCCCGCCCGGCGGGGGAGCGGGTCAAGAGAGCCGGGCTCCTTCCTTTCATTGTGGAAAAAACCCATTATGCGTAACAGGCTTGGGCCTGCCATCCGACTTGCGAGGGCGGCGCATTCGAGTTCGCCACTTAGACGCTGCTTTCTTTCCCCTACACCGAAAGGGGCTTATTTTCACGTCTCGAAGTAGACTTCTTATTTTCTCAAATGTTGTATCTACGTGGAACCTCTCGTAGAAGCAGCGCTGCAATATTGGGGGGCGTGATCTCTGAAGGCTCACCGATTCCACCCTCTTGAGCGCATTACCTGCCTGCTTCATCTCTTAGAAAGCATCGATTAGGTTTCCTACTGTTTACGCAACTTCTCTACATGTAAACCGCAAAGTTTTTAGCTCCAAGCAAGACTGCCGTTGTGCTTAATGGAGGCGGTGTCGTTTCGGGGAAGAACTGACGTTCTTCTGCTCTGGGTGTGTGGCCAGTTGCGGAGGAGCGTAGGCAGAGACCGGTAACGATGCCTGTGGTGCCCACAGGTCGGTATTGCCGAAGAACAGAAATGACTGTCTGAGAGATCATGGTTTTCAAGGTGCCTTACAAGCGTCTTGGTCAATTCTTTGTCTCTTAGATTGGGAAATAAACCCTCTTCAAGAGGCGGCGTGAATGTTGTTAGGCAAACGCGTAACTCTCCTCCTCCCCTTCTGCATGCTCACACAGCTAGCACATGAGAATTGCTTCAGCCCCTACCCGCGATCCCATCAGACTCCTCCTCTGTCTAAAAAGGAGGCCACATCTTTTTAGTTTAGCGATCTCAGCTTTTGAGCTTATGAAAACAGCATGTGTTCAAAGCCTGAAACGGGCCCTCAGTGCAGGCGCTGGAGAGGCAGTAGATGAAAGGACTAGAAGCACACATTGCACAAAATCTGTCCGCATCAGATGCTGAAACGCAGTTACTTTTAATGGGAGCTATATGTGGAGAATACTCCACCCTCTGAACTAGAGGGGGTTTGACGCGATACTGGTTCATTTTCTTTTTTCCGCTCTCCTGTTTAGAAATGGCATCAGATGTTTCCTCGCTGGGTGCAGCCGTCGGCTCCGGGAACCCCGGACCGGGTGCGCAAGCTGGAGGAGCCATCGCTCAGAGAGCCAACAAGAGGCGTCCTGGGTGAGTGTGTGCTCTGTGTGCCTGGGGTTTTTGCTTTTCTGGGGGAGGGGTGTGTGTGAGTGAAGTGTGGTTTTGAGGAAGCATTCTTCTCTTGAAAGAGTGGTCAGCCTTGTGACGAGGAAACTTGTCTACTTCTAAGCAAAGAGGAGTTGCCCGATTCCTTTTCCTCGTAGCGGTATGCTTTATGCCAACTGTACCTGTTAACGCCACGTTCTGTATTCCATATAAAAAGAGGGGATTAAAAAGTTGAGTTGCACCTCGCAGGAGAGGGTTGCTCTCCAGGGACCGAGAGCGGAACAGGAGGCACTGAAGCAGTGAGAGAAGCCGGTTGCTGCAAGAGAGGTGGAGGAACAGAGTATGTGAATGTTGGGGCCTTGCTCCAACCTTTGCAGCTGTGCCCTCTCTGGGAGAAGGTGGGGGGAAGCCGCAGTGTGCTTGTGGTAGGCTTTTTGTTTGCTAAAAGTGCCTTTGCAAATTAAAAGAATATTGAGTGGCTGCTCTTAAATTCCTCGCACAAATCTCCTCTTCATTTTCCAGCTAATTAAAATCCCTCCCTGCCCTCCCCCAGTCACTCAGACTCTCCCCTTCACCTCCATTTGCTGGTGCTCCGCTCCCCTGCAGCTCCTCCCACGCTGTCTGCTACTCGTTCCTTGCACTTCATTTGCAAGCAGGCACGGTGCAGTGCCGTGTCTACACGCCGGCTTTCCGTCCTGAAAGGAAGTGCAGTGAAAAGCCTTTCCCCTGTCCTCCCACCTACACTTGTTACAAGTGTAGAAATGTTTTGGGTTGTTTTTTTGACCCTGTTACAGCAAACAGTGACGTTGTCTGCTGTTGAACTAAGGGCGCCAATATGCAGGTCACCAGACTGAACTTTAGCTCTTGAAGTATTTTGCCCTCTCTTTTTTTTTTTTTTTTTAAATGCAACCGATCCAAGCTTTTAGTTGGGCGTGCTCCATTTGTAGGTTGTTGATGGGTCCCTCTTGGGCTTCAGGTCGCTGCTGGGAGATCCAGAGCATTTGGAACAGGAGGCTGGGTTGCAGCGGGTGCTCCAAGTGGGCTTTCTCTCTTTTGACCTGCTTCCTTGCTCTGTTTCTGACAGACATGTAAAGGAAGCCCCCTTCTAAACTTTGTGGGTTGTTTCACGTTAACCCCTGGGATTACTTAAACCTTCCTTTCAAGAATCGTCTGCATCCCTGTAGGGACAGACAGAAAAGCAACCGGTAAAGGAGAAACCGCTTGGTTAATAATTATATTCTCGCTTCTCTTTTTCAGGCTTGATTTTGATGATGATGGAGAAGGGAACAGCAAATTCCTCAGGTGAGGGAGGACATCGCACCCGGAAGCCTCTGTCGTGTGGGCTAGATGTGCCTGCATTTCCCCCAGAGAGGAGCTTGCTGCTCGTGTGGTTTTTCCTCTCCAGCAGTGCAGGGGGAAGGGGGGAGTCTGAAGGAGGCAGCGCTCCGCTTCCTTAAGCTCTTCCCTTTCTCCTAGTCAGCAGCCTTCCTCCATCTTTGCAGCTGATGCCAAAGCAAAGCTGCTGTGCACATGGGGTCTGTGAGTCGGAGAAGGGACTGGGAGGGGATCCCGTCACCACTTTGGACGCGGTCTCCGTCTCAGTCTCCTTGGGCCAACCCCAGAGCGGCTTGAGGTCAGCTGAAGCAGTGAGCCTCGCAAGCCCTGGCTTGAAGCGGCGTTGCAGAACGCCGTGGTGATGTTGCTGTGTTCGATACCAGCATCTCAAAAGATGAAGCCGTTTCCATGAACGCTTCCAGCAATCCGCTGGTTGTTCCAGCGCAGCGCTATGGGAGCACTGCTGCTGGCCAAGCCCCTGTTGATTGCAGAGAAAAATCTTCTGCCAAATAGCTTATCGGCACAACAGCGAGATGCTGAGCTTTTGTTACTGCCTCAGGCACGTGTTACTTAATTCTCGTGTGTTGCGAGGATGCTTCGATTACAGAGCCGTGCTTGCTCCCGAGGAGTTGGCGAGGCTGCAGGCGTCTCCTCTCGTGATCCATATGGAACACAGAAGAGTTGGAAGATCTCATGTCGCTTGTTTGTAGTCTCGCTGCGTGTTTAGGGTTGGACAACTCTAATGGTGCTGGAAGTCCATATGTAACAGTCTTTTAAAGATGACTGCGGCATGGCTGTGCGATGATAATGGTCCTGGTGAACGTAGGGTTTACCTACTGAGATCCTTCGGATGAGGGTCTTGATTTGGGCTAACCGTATCTTCAAAGTGCAATTTAACCTATTTCTTTGTGATTGTGCTTAAATTACTGAGTGTGATGCCGCTGTCCTGGATAGGAATGTGATGTGGAAAACATCATCGAGGTGATACAAATAATTGCACTGTAGTCTTTTAACTGGATAGCTGAAGAGCATGGGTCTGGATTGCCCGTGCCCGGCGGTTTGCCTTTTTAACACCGGGCCTTTTTTGTGTGATTTATTAAACCTTGTTTTTGTCTCTGTGTCTTTGGGAAAGAAATCAGTGTAAGCACCGTAAGAACTCTTCTTCTTCTCCCCCTTCTCCTAGATGTGATGATGACCCGATGCCAAACGATAAAGAGAGATTTGCCAGGTGAGAATCTGCTGTGATGCGGTTTTTGAAGCTTTTGGTGCCAAACCCCCTTGACGTAAGAGAGATCCTGCAGCACCCTTCTGACTAGGGGTTAGATTTTCTCTCTTTGAAGGACGGTGCACCAAAGGATCCAGACATTTTCCTTGGTGTTTTTTGGACCAGTTCATGATGAGTGTGATGAAATTGTTCCTCTTTTTCAACATTTCTTTCAGCTGTTGCCTTGGACTCACGTTCTTTTCTCCTGCTCAAGAAACTTGCAGAGATACAAGTTTCACGCTTAGTTCAAGTTTTACTTGAACGGGGTTTCCTTGCAAATGTTGTGGTTTCTGTGTTTTGTGGGGGCTTGGGCAGAAGCTTTCTCTATAAATGGAGGGTTTCCTAGAGATCGGAGCGTACAGTAACATTATAAACAATATTTTGGCTCTGATTGTCTACTCCTTGGTGTCTGAGAGGTAGCTCTGTACCATCGAGGACTGGGACTGACCTCATGGTATATTTACAGCTTTCTGAAGCCCGTGGAACTCAATTTAAATATTTCATGGGTTTATTTTGTGTTGATGCGTAATGTTTTTGCCAAAGCGAGGTCCTTTTGTGTCTATTCCGAGTGCTGTAAATTCCAGGGTGTCCCCTCAGCGCTAAGGCACATCATGCTGTGTCTTGCTAAGAAGAAAAGTGAGCAAATACAGAACAGCGGCCAAGACGCTGGGCTTCGTGGCTTGTCTTAAGGAGGGGTCTGACGTCAGAAATGCCCGAAATTGGAGTTAAAATTGGAGTGGTTGAGGACGTTGGGGAAAGGAGTGCCCAGCGTGTTGTGTCCGGGAGCAGGGCAGACCCCACCGCAGGCTGAGCCAGGGATGCTGGGGGCAGGGGCCTTTCCCTGGGACTTCACCGAGATCACGCGCTGGAACTAGCGGTCTAGAGATAAAGGCTTTGCAAAATGGCTGTTCCGTAATGTTTCAACCAGAGCTATAAACCGGTGTCGGAGTCTCTATGCAGAGGGGCAAACAAATTGCAAAGCCAAAATTTCAGGTTGCCATCATGCTGTTGCTTGCCAAAGGCTAGCAGGGACCTCTAAGCTGGGGGTCTCTGGCTTTTTGAGTGGTTTGACTGGACCTGAAGTCAAGTGAATTAGAAACGTGTTTGCCAGCCCATGTCGAATAACTTTGTTGCCTAGTGCAAGTCATAAGCTCTGGGAACTTACAGGTATAACAGACCCTGATAATACACTTAAGTGCTAAGATAATGCCAAATGCCTACAGCGTGCGCTTTTTTGGTAAGCGTCGTAGTGCTGAACAGCTTCGTGGCCCTTAAGGTTAAAAACCCTGCTACCTAAGTGTGCAGTGCTGTAGGGGGAGCAGGATCTGGGCTGCCCGTGGCCCCTGTTGCGGTGTGGCCTCTGGTCGCCCTGGTTAATACACACGTGGTAGGCGAGGAAGGAATAAACAAAGAGACGGAACAACTGAATGTCGCTTCCGAATCGTTAAGGCCCGGACCTCTCTCTCCGGTGGGGCATCAGCAGTGCCCCTGCGCTTTAATGTAGAGGTGATCGCTTGCCGTCACTGGCTCGGGCAGCGGCAGGAGGTGGAGAGCAGCGATGAAGTCCTCGGTGGTGTTGGTGTGCTGACAGCCCGAGCGCGGCTGTGAGAAGCGTGGCACGGCTTCCCTCTGCCTGGTGCCCCTTGGCCTGCCCCTGGCGCTCGGGTCTGTGTGCCGGGGCTGCTCCTCGCCGCTCCGGCAGCCCTCCTGTTCCAGCACGTTCTTCCCTTCTCGGATGATGTGAGGCAAAACAGAACATGGAAGTGAAGATGACTACTTTTTTTTCTTTACGTACTGCACTAAAACCTGTTTGAAGTGGAAGGGCACCGCAGCTGACGAATGCTAAAAACACCTCTCATGCTCTGTAAATCCACAGCGTATGTTTTAGATGCTCGGCCCTTGAGAGATGGCGTGCCTGCCTTGCTGGGCACGTGTGGTACCCGCCTTTCCTGGCGGTAGCTTTTGGGGGATTATTTGTTTTCCAAGGCAGCCAGACCTCAAGGAGGAAAAGTTATCATCAGCCCCTGAAAAACAAGGTTTGCAGATTCCTTTTCCCTGAAAGCTGAAAGTGCATGCAGGGTGGTGGGGCGTCTGTGTGCCTCTCTGTAGCTGATGTGCATAACGTCTGTGTGCTGTTTGTTGCGTGGCCATCTCCACCGTGTCGTCCTGAATGGTGTTCATGTAGCAGCGTTACGAAAATGTCTGTTGTTAGCTGTGAATCTTGCGCTGTTTGTGGATTTGGGGGTTTTTAATCTGCTTTTCTGATTTATTAATGCTGTCAAAGAGGCTATTGATTTTTTTTTTTTTTTTCTTTAAAGAAAGAGTACTTTAATGTGGCTGGGACCCTAATTCTCACTTCTGCCATTAGTCTTCTAATCTTGTGCAGAATGATCTGCACCTCGGTTATGTGTAAAACAGAGCTACCCCTTGCCTATTTTGCAGTCTTGGTAAGCGTCTTAAAACTTCAAAACAGCCTAGATAGCAGGCACCCGTTCAATGTGTAATGTTGCAAACTAATGACTGCTTTGTTTTATGGAATTGCTCCTCTGCAAAACAGACGTGTCTGTAGGCTGGGTTTCCTAGTGCATCTTCCCATTTTTCATTTCTTTAAACTTTTTCCATTTTAGCTTAGATCGCTGATTTTATTTTTAGGTCTGATGATGAACAGAGTTCAGCGGATAAGGAGAGACTTGCCAGGTAGGAGAATGGAGATTTCAAGCATGGACAAGCAGAGTATTTCCTTTCCTTAATGTTTCTCTAGGCATCCCTCCTCTTTTCCCCCTCCTTCCCTCATCTGCTGCAACAGAGGACTTGAAACTGAACAGACTTCTGGAAATCGCTGGCTAATTGGAATTAGGAGGGGAAAGGCATTTAGTCCCCTTGCGAGAGTGTCTTTGGGGAATACACAAAAGGATTTGTTTGCCAAAGACCGCAGGGTAGAGCTGGGCGAGTGCTTTCACCGAGTGCTGTAGCTTTGCTAACCTGTGCTAAACACGGTTTCTCTTGGGCTGGATCGAGGTGCCGAATGGCCTCTCCTCACCTTGGTAAGGCTGTGTCGCAGGACCGCTGTTGTACTAGCAAAACAGACATTTGGAAGTGTATTAGTTTAGGGTTTTGTGCCCCTTAAAACCTTCCAGGAAAGGTGGTGTCCTATGCATTGCAGTGATTTAGGCTTACTGAAAATGAGATTATTTTTTTTTATCTCCCCCTCCCCCCAAGTCCCTATTTGTAATTAATGAGGGACGGGGGCTGAAATGCCCGAAGCAGTCGGTTCGAATGCCGTTCCGTCAATACAGAAATGTACCCTGAGAATGTGTGCGCACAGCTGCAGCTGGTTGAGATGGTGTGTTGTCAGGACTGCGTTTCTCCAGCAGAAAAACATCAGCCCTAGATGTTCCCTTCCCTGTTCCCAGCTGCGAAATAAAAGCAGCTTAAATCGCCATCGCGGTTTCTGTTGCTCGCCACCCGCAGCTCATTGCTGCTGCGGAGCTGAGGGTTGGTAATTCATGAAGAATGGCTGTTTTGTGGCTTGCCATCTTGCAGGCTTACCCTGTCACTTCTTGGGGCTGTTCCACCCTAGACTCGTTCTTAAGCAATGCACAGGACTAAAAAGACTGTCACGGGTGGTGAGAATGCCACAGTTCTGGTCAGTTTATTGCCTGCTGGCTGGTTTTAAAACAAAAAATAACCCCCAAACGCAGCCTTTCCTAACTGCGGTATTGCATAGCTTAAATATTTGAGGAGATAAGGAGACGCTAGAGGTGGGGCCCGCGCATACAGCAAACAGCAGTGCTTTTCAGGGGTTTCTCCTCCAGCAAAGCAGTGACCCTTTCCTCTGTCCCCAGAAGTCAGTTGCTGTCATGCAAGAGCCTGTAGTAAAGAATATTTGGCAGTGGGGCCAGTAAAATGTCTGGTGCTTTCCCAGTAGCTTTGGTAGTGAAGGTGGCTTCATTGGCACACTTGAGCATGTGAGTTTGGAGAAACTGAATTGCAGGTGAGTGTGATAATTGAAGCACTTCTTTTCCTGAGTATCAGTGTCTAGCAGCAAGGAGCAAGGTCACTGAATGATCGCACACACCTGGTAGCGATAAATGCTCTGGGTTTTGTATTTATACTCTTTAATTCACTTGCCTGTCTATGCTCCTTCCAACACTTTTGTCTCATTTCATTTCCCGCCATGTGCTTCTTTGCATCTGATCCATTCTTCTGTATAGGAAACCTGGCTTTTAAGTTCTGTTTTGAGAAACCCACCTTAGTAACCCGGTTAAACTACACACGCCGGATAAAAAGAACCAAGTCTAACCAGGGTATGTTCTGCTCTCCGGGGGTCGATGGGGGCTCTGCCCTGCGAGCAGACTTGCAAAAGGCCCGTGCCGAGCCTCTTTAAGGACTGGAAGTGGGCAGCATTCGGCGTGGTGCCGCTCGAGAGGTCTGCACGCACCAGCCGGGGGTGAGCCCGGTCGATGGTCCCCCCACGTTGGCCTTGATCTGTGCAGAAATCAGGTGTATACCTCCTCTAAAGCTTTCCCTCCTGCCATGACATTGTAAAAGGCTCTCTGTAACGGAGAAGTATCTTCATAAAAGGCTGCAAGGTGAGACTGATCCGTTGTAGTTCAGGTGCCCAAGTCGCACTGCAGCCCTGGCCTCCTTGTAGGGTTACTGGAGACACGTGGGTGTCTGAAAGGTGACGGCGGTGGGGGATTTGATTCATCCTTGGGCAGACGGTGGGTGGGGTGAGTCATCTTAGTCTGTCTGCACCGGTGCTGTTTAAAAGCAAATTTCCTCAGTAGAGTGAGGTGAACCCCACTTTGAGAGCAGAGGCCATAGTCAAGGAAGAAGCCCTTGGGCTTGCTGCAGCGTTGTGGAAGTAACGGGGAAGCTTCTTTCTCTGCTAAAACAGCTTAGCCCAGCTCGTTGCCTTCACCCTATACCAGGGAACCGATGTGCTTTCAAGCAAGGCTCTTGTCTGCAGCAAAGAAGGTCCAACTGTAGGCTCTCCTCCTCGCACTCGTTCCTGCGTTCCTTTGTGCACGCCCAGCATGTGAGGCGCTTGTAGTCCTTCTAACTCCTGATGACCTTGGCGCATCTCTGTGTTTTGCACTCTGGCCTTGTGGAAGCGTTTGACGTGGGGAAATGGCTGAGGCTTCTGGCCCGTTGGTAACTTCGTCTTCCTCCTCTCCTCCCTGGCCTTTTGCAGGGAAAATCACAGCGAGATTGAACGTAGGCGAAGGAACAAGATGACTGCCTACATCACAGAGCTGTCAGACATGGTGCCCACCTGCAGTGCCCTGGCCCGCAAACCAGACAAGCTCACCATCTTGCGCATGGCTGTCTCTCACATGAAGTCCCTGCGCGGCACAGGCAATACCTCCACTGACGGCACCTACAAACCCTCCTTTCTCACTGACCAGGTCTTGGCTTGATGCTGCTTTGTGGGAAATACTGCAGTCAGAGGGGGGAATTAAAGTGCAGGTGGGGGGAGGCAGGCACCCGGGGTGGGTTTAGAGCACGTCACCTGCTTGGCTCTGCAGTTAAGAGCGTGTCTGTCTGTCTGTGAACGCAGGAACTCAAACACCTGATCCTAGAGGCAGCCGACGGCTTTCTGTTCATCGTGTCCTGTGAGACCGGGAGGGTGGTCTACGTCTCTGATTCCGTGACTCCTGTCCTGAACCAGCCCCAGTCGGAGTGGTTTGGCAGCACCCTGTACGACCAGGTGCACCCAGATGACGTGGGCAAGCTGAGGGAGCAGCTCTCCACATCGGAGAATGCGCTGACAGGTAAAGCAGCCTGGGAAGGGGTTGGAGGGGGCGGGCAGCACGAAAGCCTGCGGAGGACTTGGATTAAAACCTTCCCTTTGTAGAAGGAACCAAACCCTGGTGCCTTTCTAACAAGGATCCTGCAGCCCCCCCTGAGAATGCATCTAAAGGTACCAGTGGTGACACTTGTGTCTTGCTAGTTTCCTACTCCGTTACCTGGTGCCTGTGTTGGTGAAAGGACTCGCCTTGCAGCAGCACCTTGGTTTTCTTCTTTCTTTAGGTCGCATCCTAGATTTAAAGACGGGGACTGTCAAGAAGGAAGGTCAGCAGTCCATGAGGATGTGTATGGGTTCACGGAGATCTTTCATCTGCCGAATGAGGTAACGAAGAGATTCCTTGGGGAAACCTCATTTGAGCCTGAAGCTGAACTTGCTCCCTGGCCCCATCGTGCTTCTATTTCAGCTTTTTTTTTTTTTTTTGCTCATTCTGACACAGACGCGATATAACATGGCAGAGCTGTCCACGCAAAGCTAACAGTCGAGTTCTTGAGATTCTTCTTTGCCCTATGCTAAGAGAGCTCTCAAAACTGTTGTAGAAGATTCACTTTCAACTAACAATCTGTTTTGACCCTATGTGTTGCCTTCCTTCTCGAAGTCTGTGGAATGAGGGCTTTTCACTCGTATGGAGGAGATTCAAAGGTTCATCCCTGTTTGTAGAGTGCTTCCTCTTACTCAAGATTGCCCAACTGTTTTGGTGTTGACCAAGAAAGATAAAAGCCTTTCCCCTTGCATTTCTGATTCTGGTGCAGGTGTGGCAACAGCTCAGTGGATCCAGTCTCTGTGAATCGTCTCAGCTTTATGAGGAATCGCTGCAGGTAAATAATACAAAAGTTACGGGCAAGCACGCTGTGTTGCTAGGAACAAAAGGAGCTGCAGCTCTGTCTTCAGAGTGGTGGGGACACACTGTGGTGAGCGTGTGTAGGGTAGACTAGTACAGCTCACACGAGTTTAGATCGATCTGGTGGTAGAGGAGCTGAAGTACCGCTATGTTGAGGAAGATAATCCCGGGGAAGAGTAATCTTTCTTTATTCCAAGATTGGATTTGAAGTCAATTTAAAACCCCACGTTCTTCACACTGTTGCTGTTGGGCTCTGGTGGATTGTCCCTTTCTAATTTGAAATTGAGGTAGATTCCAGCCTATTGTGTTCTTGGACCTCTTGCATTTATGTTAAGTCTTTGTTGTTTTTGTTACCCTGAAGATATTCTGTGGAAGCTTTTTTAAAAATACAAGTAGAAGCCTTGCTTGTCCTTACCCCAGTTTAATATATAGCACAACCAGACTGTTTCTCTCTCCCAAGGAATGGCTTAGGTGCAGCCAAAGAGGGCGAACCTCACTACGTCGTGGTGCACTGCACGGGCTACATAAAAGCCTGGCCCCCCGCAGGTAATGACTTAGCTGAAGCGTTCAGTTGTGGCTGGTTTTAAGAGCGTACGGTCTGAAGTTGTCCCTTCCGTGAACCGAATGTGCCAGCAAATGCTTTCCAAATGTACTTAGCACTTCTTATTTCAGGATTGAAGTAATTTTGGCACGTGCTGGATCAGATCTTTGTCTCTGAACAGTAGCGATACTATAGAGGATGGAAATAATATTACACTGTCTGATATGCTAGCTGGTGCTGAAAGTTACAGAGGTCTTTAACCCTTCTGGCAAAAAAAGGGAGGGGGGGGGCAACTTGATTTACCAAATTCCTTCATGGGAAAGGATACTGAATTACAAAACAGGGTGGAGAGATGTTACTGAAGTCAGAACTGCACGTCTTTTTCCTCTGAAATTAGCAATTTTCCCTGCGTTAACCTTGCTGGAATTTTTTGGCGCTCCCCTCTCAGGTGTCTCACTGCCTGATGATGACCCGGACGCTGGCCAGGGCAGCAAGTTTTGCCTCGTGGCTATTGGCAGGCTCCAGGTGGGTAGCATCTTTTGATGGTTCGACATTGCTTTGTCCTAAAAGTCCACAGAGTTAGACGGTCCTGCCTGAAGATGTTCCCTGCTTGCCCCTGCCGGGCTGGCTGGGCAGGGGAAAGCAGCTCTCGCAAGATCTGGTAAGACTGTACCTGTCTCGCCTTGCAGGTCACTAGCTCACCCAACTGCACAGACATGAACAATGTTTGTCAGCCAACAGAGTTCATCTCCCGACACAACACCGAAGGCATTTTCACTTTCATAGATCACCGCTGCGTGGCTACGGTTGGCTACCAGCCGCAGGTGAGAAAATGGTAGGAGCTTTCTAAGAAAGAGCTGCTGTTCAAACTTACTTTTCCCTCCTCCCTCTCTTGTGCAGCACGGCTCTGCTTGTCTAACAGATCTGATAAAACGATGCCCAGGGCCTAAACCAGACATGTGTTTCTTTTCCACCAGTTGCTTTTTCATGTGCTTTTCTAAGTACTTTGATCACTGGAAGGATGGGTGGCTCTGGATTATGTCTCATGTCAATTAAGATCGTTTTTTGCCTCCGTTTGAGTTTGAGATCAAACGTCGTCAATCGCTGTTGTGCTTCTCTTTAAAATGCAGCACCCTGGTTCCTGTGCTTGGTTTGTGTAACAGGGATTTGGTGGGGGGGAGCATAACTACCTGTCCGAAGTGGAATTAATGGGGCAGACCTGAAGGAGGGAGGCTGCCTGCCAGATGAACTGACTGGATCTCTCTCCTAATTTCTTTAAAATTAGGAACTTCTGGGGAAAGACATCGTGGATTTCTGCCACCCGGAAGACCAACAGCTTTTGCGGGACAGCTTTCAGCAGGTAAAACGCTTTAGCTACCACTTTGCATGCAGCGTGGTATTCAGATTGGAATCTGTCTTGGCGCTTGCGAAGCAATGAAATTAATTGGAAAACCAAGAGAAAAATAAACCGTAGATATTTCTCCTTTGCCCAATGGCAAACAGTTATAGATATAGTCACATAACTGTAAATGTGCAAAACAAACCAGAAGCATCTGATGTCTAACTCTTGAATTCATCCTCTGGCTGCTAGTCCAGTCTGCTTTTAGGGCCAGAGACGTGGCTACAAAGTGCCTACTCGAATGCCATGCTTCTGTGGCTGAAACACTGGTTCATCTCTAGGGCCCAGCCCAGTGCTGCAGAACTCGAAATGGATGTGGTTTGCTTGCCCTGTTGTCGTTACTCTTATTTCTGAGGGCGTTGGACTTGTGGCAGGGCAGGTAAGACTGCCCCTGTGCTTTCATGACTCCAAAAAGTAGCTGCTCATATCCATTTGTCCAAATAGTTGGAATCAGAAGCAACAGCATGTGCTTCATTTACTGGAGGCTTTGTCATACATCTCACCAGTGCAAAGAGATAAGAAAAGTGAAAGCCAAAAGGGGACATCAGACTCCCCTCCCATATCATTCAGGACTCAAAAGAGCATACGGGTGGAGTAGCAGTGCCATTTAGGTGGGGAAAACTGCGATGTGGTCTTGTGGGCTTCACGGCGAAGGGCCATCCTGAGGTGGTAGCGGGGGGTGGCTTGTGCTCAGAAGCGAGTTGCTCTTCAACGCCTTCTTTTATCAGGTACTACTGATGGCATTACGTTTTTTTAGGTGGTGAAGTTAAAAGGCCAGGTTCTGTCAGTCATGTTCCGATTCCGATCCAAAAACCGGGAATGGCTCTGGATGAGAACCAGCTCCTTTACCTTCCAGAACCCCTACTCGGATGAAATTGAGTACATCATCTGTACCAACACCAACGTCAAGTATGTACATGGAAATGACTTGCCAACCACCAGTGATAGCGCACGAGCCTGACGGTCCCAGAATTACAGCACAGAACTGCGGGAGCGTTGGCCTCTCCCCCTCACCAAGCTTCCCGTAGGCCCTGGAGAAATGGCTAAGTCCCAGCAGCGCGCTTTTCCTGGGCCCTGGCAGGCACTAGAGGACTATAAAGTGCAAGAAACTTAATTCCTTTGGCTGTCTCAGTTGTATGGCTTAGCAAGCTGCCAAAGTTCAGCTCCAGCAGTGCCTTTTTAAACTCTGGTTACTGGAGCAAGTCTTCCGTCTGTGTGTTTGCATTCAGAGCTAATATTAGTGAAGTCTGCCTTTGAATGCAGCTCTTGGGCTCCTGTGACGGGGGGCAGCTGGTCAGAGAGTGGCTTTTCATGGGAGCAGGGCTGCCTGCAGCTGATGGTAGAGAGTAAACGCTTATTTTTCTCCACTGCTGTGGTTTTGTCCTTGGATTCAGAAACGAGCTCCAGTGGGGAGACTGCTTTCATTGCTGCCCTCTTCTTTTCTCTCGCTTGACTATTCAGTCGGGCGGTGGTCCCCTGTGGGAGTGACCAGAGCTGCTGCTCTCTTCCCGTGAGTGAGCTCCAGGCCCCTTACAGAAGAGCAGCAACTGAAATAAAGAAGAACAAAAACAAAAAAGTGCCTGCATGTGATTCGTAACTGCAGGCGCGGTGGGGGCAGCAGATGGAGTCTCTCCAGGCAGGCGAACAGAGGGCTAGATTGCTTGTGGGCAGGTGAAAAGCCAGGAATTTTATTTTTATTTTTATTTTTTTTCAGTGAGGCAAGGTGCTAGCGTGCAGGTAGCGCTTCTTCCCTTCCTGCCGCTGGCAAGCTGATGCTTTCTGATGAGAAGGTATTAAGAGCTGAGCAGTGACAAATCCCTCTGGCTTTAAAGAGCTGAGGTGTGAGCGCAGGGCTGAAATCTGATGCAGATCTGATACAGGCCTTAATTCCCGTCCTGGAGTCAGAGAGATCTCTGAGTTCATTCATTCCACACGCATCCATTCTCGCATCCATACTATGCCTTCTAACAGCACTGTGTAAGTTTAGACCAGAGAAGCGGCGATCTGTGTCTGATCGTGTTTGAGGTGCATTTTATCTACGTGCATCTTTGCTAGGTTATCTGTATTGTTTCATCTTCGGGATCAGGTACTACTGAAGCAGCAGCTTGCAAAAGAACTGTGGAGAAAACGCTGGATTTTTATTCCTTTCTCGTGGGAGTTAAAACACTAACGGGCTTCTGAGAGTTAACAGAAGAGCATAACAAACTCCACCAATGGCTTGGGCTTAAAACCTAGAGCTGCTGGTGGGTCTCTGCAGGCTCCCGCTCTGGGGCGTCTGACGTAGAGCTGAGTGGAAAACCTTGGGGGTTTTTAGGTTCCTAGAAGCTTTGCTTGTGCTTTAAGGATGATAGAGATCTGGCCGTGCTCCTGGTGGAGGTTATTAACTGCTCCCCCGCTCAGCAAGCGAGTGGGAGGCGGCAGAGCCCTCTGGCTCACAGCCTAATTAGCCTTGTGTTACGTGACACCCCCCTTTCAGAGACCACGGAAACCGAGCGGAAGGATCCTTTGCTCGAACAGGCTTTGCAAAAGCAAAGCTTCCAATCTTGTCCAAGACAGGCGCGCTCTCCTACACGCAGTAGCCAACCGTTTGCTTTCGTTTGGCATTTTTTAAATACATTTTTTTCTTTTTTTTTTCTTTGCTTTAAAGGAACTCGAGCCAGGAGTCTCGGCCTGCCCTGTCAAACTCAATGCAGAGGCCCCAGCTGGGGCAGGGTGTCAGCCTTCCCCTGGAGATGGGCACAGCACAGCTGCCCGCAAGGTCAGGAGGTGCTCAGCTCGTTTTACCGTGCCTCTCTTGCTGGTTCTGCCCTCCTGTCAAATAGCCTTCCTACCCAAACTTTCCTCTCTGCAGCAATGAACTCCTCTGGGCTAATGAATCATTGGTGTAACCACAGAGTATCTGTTCCCTTGGCAATCATTTTTAGCAGCCGGTGTTCTCCCGTTACAGAGACTTTCTATTTTAGGCAGCAGCAGCCGCCACAACAGACGGAGCTGGAAGTGGTCCCAGGAAGAGAGAGCCTGTCTGGTTACGACCACTCGCAGGTAAATCAACAGGGGCTTCGGTTACTCCTTGCATTTGTTGTCCTGCGTTATTTAAATTACCTTTTGCTGGGGCTTTAAAGGTGGCCACGCGAGATTGCCTTGAGGCTGCTGAGAGTTTGGAGAGGAAGGTGTTCTGCCTTGGGTTTTGCTTGCTTGATTCCGGTCTGCCCCTGCGGCATCCTTCCCGCTATGCCCGTGTCAATGCTGCCAGCCCTGAACGGCCACGCTGTCCCGATTAAAACACGAGAGCAGAGAGCAGCCTGGCCTCTTGCGCGCGAGGGCTTTGCCCTTGGCTGTTCTGGCTGCGAGACCGCGGACTTCCTTTGTGCTTGAGGTACTAACAGCTCACGCTTACGCCCGCTCCCAGGTTCCTGTTCAGCCTGTGACTGCCGCCGGCCCAGAGCACAGCAAGCCCCTGGAGAAGGCAGAGAGCCTTTTTAATCAGGAGCGGGACCCAAGGTTCAGCGAAATCTACAGCAGTATCAATACAGGTAGGGAGTGCTGGGCTGTCAGGTGTGGCCGGGGGCGCATCGCATCTTTGTCTGATTTCAGCTGCTCTTGGCTCTTTCCAAAGTCGCTCAGAGCAGTTCTGGGTGCAGAGGCTCAGCGTGGCTGTGTTGGGGCAGCCCGGGTCTTGCAGAGCAGTGCTGATTTTGACACTGGGTGGATAATTCCTGTCTACGCTGATGTGGCAGTGAATTGTCCTGCAGCCGGCGTTTTGCTGGGGATGGGGGGGGGGGGGGGGGGGGAAGGGGGCTTCTGCTCCGGTCTTCCTGCCTGCCTTAGTCAAATCCTTCCTGCTTGTCCCTAGAGAGCAGTTCTCTGCATTCCTCGTCTGAGCACTGAATGTAGTGGATGCTCTAACCCCAGGAGGCCTTAATGCAAGTTTATTAGAAAATGGAGAGGAAATCAAATTAAACAGGCTTTTACAAAACCATCTGGAGTCCGTGTCTGGATAAGGAACGGTCATGTTTGATGCTTTGGCTCAAAACAGTTCCTTCACACGGGCACGTCTCTTGCAACTGGTTCTCTGTCCCTGTTCCTGCTGCCAAGACTTTCGCAGCCCTAACGTGCATCAGCCTCTCTCCACAGACCAGAACAAAGCTATTCCTGCCAGCACCGTGCCTGCCAACCAGCCCCTCTTCACGCAGGGAAACACTTTCACCCCGTCGCGACCTGCCGAGAACTTCAGGTGAGGCTTCCTGTGCTGTGCTTTGAGTGGCCTCATGTTAATTTTAGCTTGTTCTGCCGTTGTTCCCGTTCTGTTTGTGTGTCCTTCTGCGACAGCTGAGTGTCCCCAGCCTCTCCCCCCATGGCAGTGATTGTCCATAGGCCTGTTCCTACGTAGCGTGCGCAGAAAATCCAGGGGGAGCCCACCCAGGCGTCGGTTTCTTTGAGGAGCGGGGGAGAGAAGGGCTCCTGCGCCCCTGCCCTCCTGCCTGGGGCTGCTTTGCTCCTGGTCAGAGGTGCAGGAGCTTTGAGGTTGTGCAGAGTCAGCACGGCCCCTCCTCTGCTGTGCTCGTCCTCTTCCTCATCTTCACATCCGCAGCTACTGCCTTGATTCCCTGATATCCCTCTGCTCTGTCGCTTGCTGAAGCTTGCCTGTGGGATAGCTGTGCCTCTCGGACATGCTTAGGCTGAAGCCCAAGAACTGAGCCTTGCCCACAAACCCAGCAGCTCCTGCCAGTTGTGTCTCCAGCAGGGCAGCGTGGTGGGCGCTGGCACGTCAGCCCGCGTTTCTGGGCTCATTCCCGCCCAGTAACTCGCACGGGTGGTGTTTGTGCCTCTCCATCCCGTACGTGATACCTAGCGTCCCAAGAGCGCCTCTTCTGTCTTCCAGGAGCAGCAGCATGGTACCTCCCGTGAACATTATTCAGCAGCAGCCCTCCTCAGCGGGCCGGATCTTGGCACAGATTTCACGCCACTCCAACCCAGCTCAGGTCAGCGGAACCAACTGGGCTGCAGGGACACGGCCAGCGTTCACACCCCAGGTAGCAAAGCCTGAACCCTCGGTGCGGGCCCCGAGTGCCCGCTGCCTTACAGACCCTTCTTGCCGTCGTGAATCGACCTGCTCTAACTCTAGCTGAGTGATGGGGCAGTGCTGCGTGCCCGTGTGCGTTCTCCTCTGGGGCCCGTCCAGCAACTTCTCACCCTGGTCAAGACGAGGTTCGGAATAAACGCGCCTCCTCTCTTCCTCTCCCGTTTCTTGCTCTCTTACAGCAAGTGGCGTCCCAGACGGTGAAGACTCGGCCCCCTTCCTTCAGCATGGGGACTTTCCAAGGCACCCCGTCCTCCTTCAGCACCATGACGGCACCTGGCTCTACAGCTTCTCCTACGGGCGCTGCTTACCCGAACCTTGCCAGCCGTGGCACGGGCTTCAGTGAGTATGGCTTGGGGTGGCAACAAAACCCCCTCGGAGGAAAGCTGGGAGCATCAGTCAGACGCAGCCTTGGTGCGATGCGCTCTCCGTTTTCTTGCGCGTGTTGGGAATGCCCAAGCGTAGAGGGCACAGCTACGTCCCTGCTTTGGCTAATGCTGCCTTTATCACCTTGAACCATCGTCCCACCGCAGGGCTCTAGAGCAGATGAATTTTGAACCATTTTGAGGCTGACTGGGAAGAAACAACCCCCTCTGGGACTTCCCTGCGTTTGTTCCTGTTCTGCCCCATAGATGGGTACTGACAAATGCCATAATGCGTGTGACCGCTTAGTGGCTTTTCCTGGCGGGGGGATCCTACCCGGTTAAGAACTGGGCACCACAAAACGAGTTGTGCACTTCCCAGTCCTAGTAAAGGCTCATAGAAGCCACAGCCCAGCACCAGGAGTCGTTCGCTGACTTCTTCTCTGTTGAACAGCCACGGAGGCAGCGCAGACCCCCGCTCCGTTCCAGACGCGGGCAACCGAAGGTGTGGGGATGTGGCCGCAGTGGCAAGGACAGCACCACGGCCCGGCGTCCGGGGAGCAACACGTGCAGCAGCCGCAGCCAAGCCAGCCTGAGGTCTTCTCAGTAAGACGGTGCTTTTTTAACCTCCCGAGCGAGGACTGTTGTGGGCCAGTCTTGTGGGAACGAACGGTCTTTGCTTCCCAAGTGCAGGCAGCCGGCTGAAGCGCCGAGAGCTTGTCCCTCTAGCTTGTAATAGCTGGTGAGGTCTCGGACTTGTCTGATGGAGCTGAAACTGCAGAGGAGAGGGCAGAGGGGCCTCAGCTGGACTGGCTTTGTGCCTCGGTCCGCTGCAGGATCAGCAGTAAGCCTTCTAGCTGTAATGAAAAGCAATAGCAAAAAAGCCAACCCCCCGGTCCGCTAAAGCGAAGATGACTCCAGAGCTCGCGTTCTTCGTGGGAGTTGCTGCCCCCTGCTTTCAGAGGAGTCGGTGCAGTTGCTGCTGGCGACTTAAAGTCGCTGCTCTCCCGCAGCCTCGGACGCAAACCCTGCGTGCCCTGGGGAGGGAAGGGGCCGGAGGGCGTGCAGTACCTGCTCTGCCAAGCTCCTCTGTGCTGTTCTACTCCAGATACTAACTCTCCCCTTGTATCCTCACAGGACATGCTGACAATGCTGGGAGACCAAGGACCCAACTACAACAATGAAGAGTTCCCAGAGTTGAATATATTCCCTTCTTTTTCAGAATAAAATAAGCCCTAGGGGAAGCAAATTATAGCTCTATATAATATCCATGCGTAAAGGAAAACACCTAAGTCTTTTTTTCAAAGACTGCTGAACTTTCTAAACACTTCCTACCTTCTGGAGGCGAAGCTCTGCCCGACAGCCTGGAGGACGGATGCCACGCAGGAGGAAGGTGGGGTGGTTTGGGCACCTCCTCCGTGCGGTGCTGGCAGTGGGGGACCGCTCGCCTGGAGGCTTCAGGACTCGGTGCTGCGAGAGCAGCCGCGCTCATTGACCGGAGGCCCCGTGTTTCCGGCGCCGCTCGCGAGCGGTTTTCGTTCTGCACGCCGGGCTGGTCGGAGGGACTCCTGCCTGGGTTACAGACAGCCCCTCCAAACTCCTAAGGTGGCTTTTACTGGTTTTACTTCAGTCTTCTATACCGTGACTCTTTTTCTATAAAACACAAAGTATTGTAACTTTTTTAAATATTGGAAGAAACTCTTCCAAGCGTTAATCCTGTATAACGCAGTTCTGGAGGATGCTTGCCTCAGAATCCGTGTCACAAGCCGCTTTCTCGTTGGAGGAGGCTCGGCCGTCTGCGGAGGGCTGCCGCTGCGTCTCCAGGCCGGGGTGCTTTGTTTGGAGCTGCCCGTGTCGCAGGCACGCCAGCGTTCGCTTGGGTGCCGTCTCCTCTGTGAACCGTGCAATGAATACGGGCCTCTGGTCTGCGCGACCTGCGAATCGCTCGGGGCCGCTCGCGCCGGGGAGCGGCAGGGGGGGTACCAGCCGTACCAATATCATCTGCGTAGCTCTGTTCTCGGTGCATCGGTTCTGCAGCTGATGGTTTCTGTGCTGCCGCGAACCAGTGTTTCACAGGCTTTTTGTCAGCTTACGGGGGGAAAACGCCGCTCTGCGCTGTCCACGCGGTTTTGCCAGGTCTAGACTGAGCTCCTTGCCTTCATTTTGGAGCCGGGGGTCTGGTTCCCGGGCAGAGGGGCCCTGGGTTTGCCCGGGGGCTTGCTGAGGAGCTGCGTTTTCACTACATGCTCTGAACGGCAGCCTTTGCTTTTACCCTCGCTGTTTCCGTAAAGAAAAAACCAAGCTGTGATGGCCTTGTTGCCAAGTCACAAAATGGAGGGGAGCAGAGGAAGATAGGGAACAGAATAAACTTTTTTATATATATAATTTTTTTTTTTTTAATTTTAAACCTTGACTTTGAATCTTCTGGCTTCTTCAGTGGAAAAAACTCGTGGCAAATCTTGCTCTCCTCAGGGTCCGTAGGGGCTGGAAGACGTTTGGTTCCCCCCGCGATGGCAAGCCTGGCTTCGATTTCAGCAGCAGCTGCAGCGGGGGGAGAGCACAGAGCTTTCCTGGAGGCCGCTTTGGTGTTGGATAAATCTGGGCCTGCTGGATGATGGGGGAGGCCCTCCAACGCGCGATTTTGGGGACGTACCTGGCAGGTAACCTCCGCGGGGAAGGCTGTAAAGCGTCGGTGCTGCCGACCGTCGGGGTTCGTGCCTGCAGCGACCCGGTGAGCTTCCTCCTGGTAGCGGAGCAGAAAGCTTGCTTTTTTGTTTGTTTTTTTTTTTTCTGTCCTGCTTTTGTTGGAAAATTAAGATTGGAATTTTGTTGGTTTTTATTCCTCGCTTCAAACACCGCTTCCAAATTTATCTATGGAAAGGTGGGAGCTGGGATCCACCCCTGTCCCTTTACCCAGGGAAGCTGCTGCCAGCCGTAACGGCGGCGGGCCCCTCTGGCTCCGCAGCAGCCCGTGCCCGCCCCGGTGCCAGGCTCCGGAGTTCTCTCCGGCTTCGAGGAGGTGGATTTTGTAACGTAGCACGGCGTTGACCATCCCAGGCGTCCGTGTCGGGCTCGCAGCGCCTGCTTGCGGGGCGAAGGGGGCTTGTGAAGGACCAGCTGCAGCGTCCTCCAGCGTCGGAGCTGTGCTGACCCCACCGGACCGGGGATGGAGCAGTGCTCAGCTGCCAGAGGAGGAGGAAAATTCCCCTTTCTACAGAAATCAAGCCTTGGGGGACTCGACTTTTTGAAGCTGGAGCTCTGATGCCTTCTGGTGTGATGTCCCGGGGCAGCAGCGGGAGCTGGCCTTGCCCGTGGTGCTTCGAAACGCCCTCCCCGAGCGTGCTGGGACCTGGGCGCCGCGTGGAGCAGCCGGCCAACGTTGGGAAGCGTGGAGCGGTACGGGACACGGGAGGGAGGCTTATTCCCTTCCCCTCCCGTTTTGATAACTCTTATTTTTCAGTGTGAGGAGGGTATTTTATCACACAATCGCTCGGGGTGGGCAGGAGCCAAGCCTCCTCCTTGAGGGGGCTTGTTTGGGGCCCGGAGCTCCCTCGGCGCAGGAGTTGCAGATGATTATATGTAGCAGAGATTTTACAACAAGATATTTTCCCTTTTTCAAAGCTCCGTCTCGTTTCTGCCTCCCCCGCGCCGCACTCACGGCAGCGTTGCCCGAAGCCTCGGCCTTGGGGCGATGCTGGGGCAGCAGAGGTGGGATGGCCGCCGGGTGCTGCCTCTCCCCGAGCTCCCTCCCTTCCTCCTCCTCTTACTCGCAGCCGTGGGCTGGAGCGCGTTAGCCCTCCCTCGTGATCCCCGGCCGTGTGGATCCTCGTGCTCTCCCCGCGGGCGCACAGCCCAGCGCCCCTCCTTCAGCCTCTGATCATCCCTGGCCCCCGCTGCGGCAGCGCGGCCCCCCAGAGCCCTCGGCCCCCCGCGGTTTGGTCCCTGCGCCGCTGGCCTGGTCCTCGGTCACGCGCGGCCCAGTCAGGGCCCCGTGCTCGGGGCGATGAGTCCGTGGCGGAGCCCCGGGCTGACTCAGCAGCTGGGGAGGGCGAGCTCGCGTGGGGCGCGGGTCCCTCTCCCCGGGACCCCTGCGGCGACGGGGTGACGGGGGCGTAGCGCGGAGGTGGCTCCAGCCCAGCCTCGCTGCTGCTCCCATCCCCTAACTCGGCCTCTCGCTCCCCGGCGCGGTCCCTCCTCGTACCCATGGCTGCACGATGATGATGGCGATGGCCCCAGCGCGGGGCGCCGGGGACAGGGGACTGACGCCACCGGGTCACGCCGGGGCCTTCTGGGCAGTGAACAAGGTTTTCTGACTCGTCCGGGCGGGCGCCGCGTGACGGGGTGCCAGTCACCGCAGAAAGCACCGTCTGCCCCCGCTTCCCCGCGGCCGTGCTGCCTGGGGCCGGGGAGCAGCCCGGACCCCCGGAACGGGGCGCGGGGGGTGGCAGGGGAAGCAGGCCTGGGGTGGGGACGCTGGGGACAGAGACGAGGTCCTGTCCTCTGCTCCCGATGTCACAGGGCCACCCTGAGGTGCTGGGGAGGGTCTGATCCTGCGCCTGCCCAGGAGCAAGCGACCTCTCTGGGGTGGCCCTGGGGCAGGGGGTGTCCCCAGGGTGGGATGCTGGGCCAGGGGGTGTCCCTGGGCCAGGGGGTGTCCCCAGGGCCCCCGAGCCGGGGCTGACTCAGCTCTGCCCCGCAGCATCACGTGAAGCCGGGAGGGAGCCGCTGCTGCGTCCCCCCTCCCCGCTCTCCTCCTTCCCTCCAGCCCTGTGCAAACCCCGGCGACTGCCAACATTTTCCAGCCGCCTCAGAACTTCCTCAATCCGGCGGCATAAAAGAGCTGCGGACGCGGCAACCGCATCCCCCGGTCCCAGGCTGCGCCGTCCTCCCGCCGACAGCGCGATGTTGGGGTGAGCGGCGCAGGCGAGGGTCCCCTGGGCGGACGGGAGACCCGGCGAGGCGTCGCTGGGGCGGTCGGGGGGCTTTTTCCCCGGGGAAATGGACCCCAGTGGGAGTGGGGGGGAAATAGGGCCCCGTACGGCAGCGTTGGGACCCTTAGAGGTGCAAAAGGGGAAACTGAGGCACGGAGCACCGAGCGGCGGCCCGAGCCTCCTGTCCGCCTTCCTGCGCTGCCCTGGGGGTCTGGTGGGAAGGTGGCTGCGGGGGGCGAGGGGGTGACGCAGGGGAGGGGGTGGGATGCCCGGGTACCCCCCCGCCCGCTCCCTGCACCCCCAAAACTCCGTTTCCCCAGGGCTCGGGGCTGCTGGGAAGGCGCCAGCGGCCGGGTAATGGGAACCGGCTGTCCCAGCTCATGTGACGCCAGCGCGGCCCGCGGCGGGGTCCTGGCCCCAAACCAGGGCGGGCAGGGGGTCCTGGGTCCCCCAGCCCCCACCGGGGCGCGTGTGGGGTCCTGGCCCAAAACCAGCGGGTGGGGAGGGGGTGCCGGTCCCCACGGCCTGCTAACGGGGTGGGTGCGGGGCTCTGGTCTCCCCCGGCCCGTTGACAGGGTGGGAGGGGGGTCCCCTCCCTCGTGGCTCAGTAACGGGGTGCGTGGGGTCCTCTACGGCCTGGAAACGGGACGGACGCGGGGTCCTGGCCCCCATAGCTCAGCCCGCGGGTGGCCACGGGGACCCGCTCCCCTGTAGCCTGACGTGGTCGTGGGCACAGGGTCCCGTCCCCCGTCCAGCCCTCCCGGGCTCAGCCTCTGTCCCCGTTCCCCAGGATGTGGTGGCCCACGCTGCTGGCCCTGCTGGTCCCCGCGGCGGTGGCCCAGCCGCGCCCCGAGCGGGAGCTGGACGCTCAGTGGGACCTGTGGAAGAAAACCTACCGCAAGCAGTACAACGGCCAGGTGTGGCAGAGCCCCGCGGGAGGGGACCCGGGGCATTGCTGGGGGAGCTGGGGACCGCCCAGTGACGGCCCCGTGGGGCTGGGGATGTCCCCGTGGTGTCCTTGGGGTGTCCCCACGGTGGCGGGGGGCCGTGGGCAGGACCCCTCCGCTCAGCGCCGTCTCCCCCGTGGTGCAGGCGGACGAGGTGGCGCGGAGGCTGATCTGGGAGAAGAACCTCAAGTACATCAACACCCACAACCTGGAGCACGCGCTGGGCGCCCACACCTTCGAGCTGGCCATGAACCACCTGGGTGACATGGTGCGTGTCACCGGGGGGGACAGTGACGGGGGGGGAGAGAGGGGACTGAGCACCCTTGGGTGCCCGCCAGCCCCAGGGCTGCACCCATCCACCCCGGGCTCCCTCCCCAGACCAGCGAGGAGGTGGTGAGGACGATGACGGGCTTGAAGGTGCCCCGCGGCCGCCCGCGGCACAACGAGACGCTCTACGTCCCCGACTGGACCGAGAGAGCCCCGGCGGCCGTGGACTGGAGGAGGAAAGGCTACGTGACGCCCGTCAAGAACCAGGTAAGCAGGGTGCTCCCGGGGGTGCCCGGGGCGGGGCGGCACCCGGTGTGGCACCCCGGTGGCACCCATCGTGTCTCCCCAGGGCCAGTGCGGCTCGTGCTGGGCTTTCAGCTCGGTGGGCGCGCTGGAGGGGCAGCTGAAGCGGAAGACGGGGAAGCTGCTCCCCCTCAGCCCCCAAAACCTGGTGGATTGCGTGGCCAACAACGACGGCTGCGGCGGGGGGGCCAAGACCAAACCCCTTGCGAAGCGTCGGGCGGACACGC